AGTGATCTGGGCATTACCACAGGCAGCTCAATGAATATCTCTATTCAATATGTAACTGCAATCAAGGAGGTAGGCAAGACATTTAGCTGCAAAAGGGGCTGAATGCTGAATACAGATAGTTATAATACCTTTCTATAAAAATCAATGCAGCAGCCTTATCTGGAATAATTTGTTGAGTACTATCATAGCATTCTGAACATGAAAAGGGGGGAATATGATCAAATGAATGGTATGGAGAAGGTAGTACAAGCACTAGTGATGTTGTAGCCATGCTACTCCAGAACTTGTGTGACAGTTAAGGATTTCTTAGAGTGATATCTTTTATTGGACCAACTCTGTAGTTGGGATAAAGTTAGACAACCTTTCAAATACAAGACATTCATAAGAATGGAGAAGATAGGGATCAGAGATTTTACAGCTAGAACAACAAAAAAAGAGGAAATACGGTTTTGTAATTTTCCGTATGTAATTGAGCCACATAACTTGGAAGTCAAGGTTTTGCAGTGGCATGCCAGATCAACCTGGCTTGGTTCTGTCTGAGGCAGGCTGGTGCTTCTTGACCTTTGATCCTGCTGCTACTTCCCCCTGACACCGGATTTTGCAAAGCCTGCTTCTCCTATGGCTGCATGGTGCAGGTGGCTGCAGGGAGGTTTCATCTTTGTCACACGGCTGGGCAGCAAGGGGAAGCAGTGGCAGGAAGAAGCTGGGCTGGAAGCTCTGTGGGCCAGATCCAAGGGTTTCATAGGCTGCATGGTACCAACTCCTGAATTTACTCCATGTCATAATGAACGGGGCCAAGAAGTTGAGACTGAAAAAGGGGGTGAATAATTCTAATAGTATAAAAGCCTTAGTCTGTCTGTCTGTAACGCTTTATTCCAACTCTAATCACAATGTTTACTAAAACAACCAATCAGAGTGCTCTTCACAGACAGAAGTGCCGCCATGACAGTGGGGACTGAGGGGCTGGAGCAGGGGAGTGACGCTGTGCCCCCCCAGTCTCCGCTGTCATGGCAGTGCCATCCCCCAGCAAGGCGGAAGCAGGGGGAGGCAAAACAGCGGTGCTGGCCTTGCCCCCCCCCAGCTGTCCCCCTCTGCCTCCAAGGACCAGGGTCATGGGGGGGGGGGCAAGTCCAGCACCACTGGCCTCACCACCCCTGTTCTAGCTGCTCAGTCCCCGCTGCCATGGCAGCGCTGTCCCCACCATCCCCCAGCAGGGCTGGAGCAGGCAGGCGAGGGCAGCAGCACTGGCCTCGTCCCCCTTCTGGGCCCTGCTCCTTGGGGACAGAATGGGATAAAGAGGAGGGGAATGGGGCTGGACGAGAAGCGGGGGGCAGGGCCGAAGTAGGTGGGCAGGGGGGAGGAGGGGCCCACCAA